CCCAATTCATTCCTGCTTTGTTTATTAGCTACATCCTCTAGCAAGAATCTCCCCAGAAAAAACCCCCAGTTCCCAAACCCCCCCAGCCGCAACAGTGTGAATTCCTCAGGAAGGTGCCAGTCTCATCCTCTTGTTCCTCCCACGCGGTTCTGGCGAGCTAAGAAAATGTCTCCCTGAGCTTGGCCTTCATAATTCCATTCCATCACAGCTGGGAAGTGACTAAGGCATGAGTGACTGTGAGCAAGGTCTCCCAGTCAAGGAATAGGTGCAATTGGTACACAAGATGTACAGTAACTGTGCAAAGGCCCCCTTAGCCATGGCTGCCACCCACTCCTTGAGCAAGAGCTGTGAGCTCTGTCTGGGGAAGTGCTACCCCATCAAGAGTCAGAGATAACACATCACCAGACCCAGGGTTGATTAAGTCCAATAAATTTAAATAACAATAATAATAATAAAGCCATTCAGACTCAGAAGCCATATATATACCAATCTCAAAACAGATTTTTTCTTGAACGTGTTTGCCAGTGGTATGACTCTTAATTAATCATGCACATTTGATTTAATTATTAGAGGTCTTCTACATTTCCTCACAGGACTATTTTAGAATATTTTTTTTTCAATTCAATTAAATATGGACATTTCTCAAATAATATGTTAGAAACTACTGTGACTCACCAAGCATATATGAGTTTTTATATTTCCATTGTGCTGATATAGAATCAAAATAGGGAGGAGGAAGAGGAGGAGGAGCGGGAGACATAATCAGAAGCCCCAACTTAGAGCAGATCTCAGCTCATTGCAAATGCATTCTGGGCCTGTGTTTTCCAGGTTCAGTTCAAGGCTGCTGTTTTCTGACCCAAGCCATCTTCAGAGGCTATGGTCTCCAACATTTTGTTCTAATATAGCCCCAGCTCTGTTTGGCTGCAATGTCCCCTCCCTTCCAGTACCTATTTACTGCCCTGTGCAACCATTTTGTCCTGGGCTGCAGGGCTGCGACAGGGCTGTCTGTGTATTATTATAATCTTGCAGTTGATGCAACAATGGCCTATTAAGCCAATGAACTATCTCCAGCCCTAGAAGCTCATACTCCATTCAGCCTTTACATTTCCCAGTGGGTACCTTTTCCATTTCCATCCAGACCTTGTGAAGTATGCTCTCCTTGTTTTCCCACCCCACCCACCCCACCCCAGTACTGCAAATCTTTCCATCCTTTTATTATATTTTTTACATTTTTAACTTGCAATCAAGAACACTGCTGCTTTGATTCTATGAAGCTGAAGTATCAATTCTTCCTTGTTGTAAAGTTTTCATGGACCCACAGAAAAACATAAGAACCAAAAAACTGCCTGTTGTTCCCTGTTGTTTTGATTATGGTAGAAGAGAAGGAGGAGGAGGAGGAGGAGGAGGG